TTTGTAGTCCAAAAACTTTGCAGCAACAAACTTTTTCAACCCGGCATCTTCGGTTTTGTATTTCTTTTCAAGCGCAGTCCACAGTTCCTTTGACGTTTCCACGCCACTGTAGACGTTATACAAAGCATCCTCCAGCCCGCTTAGAATATAATTCTTGCACAAAAAATCTGAATGCTTCCACGCCTCAATCACGAGAAAGCGTTCAGTTTCTGGAGTTTCATCGGACAGCACAGGAACATCTTCCTTGATGAACTTCTGGAGACTTAGAGTAGTCAAATAGAAGAACATCTTTTGCTGCCAGCGCTTGAAATCAATCCCGAAAATTTTTCGGGTTTTTCCGCCCGTGCCAATGCTGCCGGTGTCGTTCGGCTTGTTGAGGCATTGGCAGTCACCATTGGAACAACTTGGTTCTCATTCTCATTAGTCATTTCTGTAAAAGAATGACACAAACGTTAAAATCACGTAGATTTTAATAGAGTACAAACACAAAGGTTTTACTCTTCCAGAAACAGTAAGTACAAATACAGAAAATAAATTAAATTCCTTAAGCTTGTTAGTAGACTGTATTTGTAAAATAATTCTGGAAATATAAATGAATATAAACAGAAATGACATAAAACCAATTCGAGCCCACTGAATTCACAGTGTTTCCTTAAGGAATTTAATCCCCTCCTAGTACCCAAGGTTATCGATTATTTCCTCTCAGGATAGAACGAATTACACACTGGTGTAGTGGTACTTCAAACTCCAGTGTTTCAGCGAACACAAAGTTCGGTAGCAAATCACACTTACTTTTTACTTTGTTTGATGCTAAAAGTATGCAGAAGAAGGAGAGAAAACTTAGAAAATCGTAGTGAAATTATGAGCAGAATAGTATTGTATTTATAGCCAAAGTTGGGCTGAAATCTGAAGAGGTGCAACTCTTCAGAATGGCTGTTTATGCAAAACGCCCACAGCATAAATGCCATTACATAAATGGCCATTTACTCAACAATAAAGAGGAAAAATAAAGAGGAAAAATTGAAGAGGGTAGTTATTTTTCTGTTACCAAAATAGAAAAACGGATTGGATTTAATATTAATATTCTGTTATTAAACCGAAGCCGAAGCCGAGCGAGCGACGACGACGACGCGAGGCTTGCCTTCTTCTCAACTCTTTAAGAGCTAGAAGAAGAGCAATTGCTTATATACCCATAAAAAACCTCTTCCTCTTCCAATATAGGATAATGCCCATTTGCCAAGGGGGGAACTTAAAATTTCACTCAAAAATTTCATTTCCCTCCATTTCCCATTCACCCTCTTTTAAGTATTTAATATATTAATTAAATACATCCAAAACCCAACACAGACTTTGCTCCAAATTTTCTCCACTTAGCCATTTTTCATGCACTTTTGCACCCCTAGTTTTGGCTCCACGATTGACCTTCGTGGAGCCATTGTTCTCCACTTTTCAATCTTCAAATCCTTCATTCTACTCCAAATTCCATCTCTTTTCATTCTTCCCTATCCAATTCCTCGTCAACTATTTTATTTAAGTTCAAACATATGAAATCAACAGAATTAAGTTAGTTAAGCCTATTAAAGAACCTTAAAACTCAAGAAAAAGGTATGAATAGGTTAGCAAAATACCAACTTGTCAGTTCCCTCCCGAAATTAAGGCTTTATGTTCGTTCCTTTTCCACTGATAAATTTACTGGGAAGTACTGCAGGATGGGATATTGGCATGGAATAATGGGAACACCAACTATTTTGGATGTTATTGAGAGGACACAACAATCATGTAGTATCACTGGTCATTGGAGACAATAGACTATTTCTTTTATCACGTTGATTGGACAAAATATAGTTTTATGCTTGAAATTCCGCTCTCTTAAGCTTATCCAATTATGTGTTGATTTGATTGTTGTCTTGTTTTACTGGAGATTCTTGTGGTAGAATGGTGATGGTTATTGAGGATTTAGTGGTCAAGTGGCGGAAGTCGGGACCAGACTGGGAAGATAGTTAATAAGTTATTGAGGATTTAGTATCCAGCTAGCCTAGTGCTTTATAGAGCTATTGGATACAGGCGTTTATGGTGGAAAATGGTCACGTAAGATATTCTACCTATATGTTGAGGATATACTTTAATTTACGTGGGTTGACGAAAGGCAAATACTATATCAGAGTGTTTTATATTACTGGTTTTCGAGCTAATGTTGGGACTCCAAATTAATATGCCAAGAACAACTATTTGGCAAAATACCATACCATCCCCTTAAACTTGGTACAAATTATTAAGTACAATTTTAAACTATTCGTGGTCTTATACCTCCCCTTAACTTGGCATTTTGAGAGCCAGTACCCCCCTGGACGCTGATGTGGCAAAGTGTGTGAGTGCACTCGCCTGCCACTTGGATTTTTCTGCACATGTGGTACTTTTTAAAAAATAAAATAAAATTTACCTTTTTAAGTATGTTACTTTTTTAGATAATTTTTTCGAATTCAATTTATACTAAAATTTGAATAGAACTACTTTATTGATGCTAAATTTTTTTATTTGGCTAAAAATAATAAAGTTTTAGTTAATCGTTTTTTGAATTTGATCTGATAACAAAGATTTTTATACAATTGAAATAAATAGTCAAGGCATCTAAAAAGTTACAAAAATACATAGTTTGAAATTAATTATTTTATAATTTTTTAGATAGCTCTAAATTATGGTGCTCTAAAAATATTTTTTTTTTTTTACAGATTTTACCCGAAAAAAGTAAAAATACACCGTTGAAATAAATAGTCATTGCATCAAAAGAAGAAATAAAAAGAGTGTATCAACAGAGTAAGTTATTTCTTGCAATTGTACACTCCTTTTGTTTCTTTTTTTTGATGCAATGACTATTTATTTCAACTGTATATTTTTACTTTTTTCAGGTAAAATTTTAAATTTTTTTTAGAGCACCATAATTTAGAGCTATATAAAAAATTATAGCCAAAATAATTAATTTCAAACTATGTATTTTTATAATTTTTTAGATGCCTTGACTATTTATTTCAATTGTATAAATCTGTATCAAGTCAAATTCAAAAAAAGATTAACTAAAACTTTATTATTTTTAGCCAAATAAAATTTTTTTAGCCTAAATAATGTAGTTCTACTACTATAAATTTTATTCGAAAAAAATTATCTAAAAAAGTAACATACTTATAAAGGTAAAAATATATTTTATTATTAAAAAAATACCACATATACAGAAAAATCTAGGTGGCAGGTGAGTGCACCCACACTCTTTGCCACATCAGCGTCCAGGGGATAATCGCTCTCAAAAGGACAAGTTGAGGAGGGTAATTAAGACCAAGAATAGTTTAAGGCTGTAACTAATAATCCGTGTCAAGTTTAGGGGGCGTGGTAAGGTATTTTGCCCAACTATTTATTCACAGCAGTTATTTTGGGGTGTAACAGGGAAATTTTACTACAGTCTATCTTGGGCTTCAATTCAGGACAGTGTGGTGACCATAATAAGAGTCTTTTTCACATATGGTTGGGGATTTAATGTTGGAAGAGGATGTAAATAGGTGTCCAGATTTATACATGCATGTGATTAAGGAAAAGACAGAATATGATTGGTGTGCAAGATCACCTGGTGCTAGATTTATACATTCTTTTATTCTTTGGGCTCTAAAGAGGGACCCCCCCCAACCCAACCCAAAAACCTCCCTCACACACAAGGAAATAAATTGTTCAAGAATGATATGGTAGTATTTGTTAAATAAGATACATAGTGCGCAAATTTTGGAATGAATAATATATTTGTTAAATTTCATGTTAATTCCAGAGTATTACTAATAAATACATCCTAATATTTTGCCGCAAATGATTGCAATTATTCAAATCATGTCAAAAAAGAGCGCACAAAAGGGATTGACAAGGTCAAGAAGCTGATGGTTTGAAACTTATTTGAGCACGCGAAGTGCAAGTAGCCAGAACACAATTGTAGAAGAAAGTGAGCATTTGGTCCAGTCTATGAATATAGGCACAATCCTATTACTATTTGACTTGGGGTTTAGGTTTTAGGTTTGGTTCGTTTTGGTTTTGATGGCTACGCTTTCGCCAAGAATCGGTATATGATAAAAGTTTACCGGCATTCGATATTTATATTAAATTATATTCATTTGCTGTAGTTATATTATACTTGGTTGAGATTATGAGATTATTAAAGACACATGTCATATATTTATTGGATTAATTTAAACACTAAATGTAATAAACTTTATACCATTGGTCTATTGGGAAAGGTAATTAACCATTCCTTCACGTCATTCACCTTCCCCACTAGCTCAAACACATCATTTTAGTTCTCGTTGACATTGAGATTCGTCCTCCTAATTCTATTCCGGAAGTGCTTTAGTTATCATTTGGTATTTTCTTTTAGTAAATTATTGTTAATTCAAGCGAGGTTTTGGTGGTATTAATTATTACAGTTACGTATTTGGTGGTAATAGAAATTTAAAACCTGTCCATGTTGCTGATGGTAGGTTAGTTACGAGAAGAAAAGTAAGTTAATATAATATTGTTCCTAATTTAAGGAACTCATTTTTATATTAAGTACTAATATTACTCATTTAAATTCGATTTTACATTTAGTCAATGGCCTATCAGAAAGGAATCAGTTAGAGTCGTGATGTCTTTATAATAATGTAAACTTGTAATTTCTAACTATTTAAATTGAATGTCGGCGTCATGGTTTACGAGTTAGCAGCCAAATAGTACTCACATATATAACTTATTGAAAGGCTACATCCAGCCCAGGAGAAATTAATTTGTAGTATACTTTCATGCCAAATAATTAACTTTGGCTCCAAACAGTATTTCTATAAACTTTTTCATATGTCAAACTGAATATTTTGGTTACCTAATCAAGTTCTCATAAACCATAACGGTCTCGCATAATTTTGGTGAACATAAAATAAGTACACGCCAAATTGTAGTTCAACTCAACTTGCCTAATAAACAACCAAAATATCAAAGTCTTCGAACCTAAAGCCCACACAAAACTCTCAAACTATTATTATCCATATAAATACTAATCTCTTCACCATCTTTTATACACATCTAATCATCTCCTCTCCTTCTCCTCACAATGGTTTCTGTATCAGTTAAAAACAGATCCAAAATAAAAACTACAATACTCATTGCATCTGATGTAGCTTCATGGTTGTGTGCTATTAGCCTTATGGCTCTTGTATTGATGAGTTCTGTTAAGGAAAACAACACTAGGAATTGGGAAAATTCTGTCGTCAGAGGAAAGCAGCTGGGCCTGTCTCATAATCGACCATGCGATGAAATATATGTAGTTGGAGAAGGAGAAACATTACATACAATCAGTGACAAGTGTGGTGATCCTTATATTGTTGAAAGGAATCCACATATTCATGATCCTGATGATGTTTTTCCTGGTCTTGTTATCAAGATTGTTCCTTCCAACCATAACAAGTCATTGAGATAACCTTTTTGATGGAAGAATATTTTGCCTTCCTCTTTTTTCTTCCTCAAAAATAAATGTGCTCTCTACATGTATAGGAATAAACTTGAGCATGAATTATTACTGAAATTAATACTGAAACAATATTATATATATATAATATATTATATAATATATATTATATAATATATATATATATATATATATATATATATTATATATGTTTCCCTATTTGATCTTCAAAATCTCATGGAAATGTTAAAATTCTGTTTCTCCATCCATGATTAGGCAACATCATATATATTATAATGCTTCTATGCGCTCTCTCTCTTAATACATCATCATAAAACTAGTTTATGGTGTGTCTCTCACAACGACATCAGTTGTGTGAGACCTCTTTTATCTCACAAATTTGTGGACCTATATCTTACACTTTTGTGGTTCACACTAGTCGTGTAAACACAAAATAATTTTTTATCAGTATGCTAAGCGTTAAGTGAAATGAGGCTTGCTTTGTTACTCACTCAGCTCTTTTTTTTACTTGTTCAGTATATATCTTGCATACTTCTTAAAAAATATTAATTAAGTATATTGTTTTACTAAATCTATCCCTTATAATGGTTAATTAATCTAAATTAATATTGAAAATTGTAAAATAAGGGTAAAATTGGAAATGAATAACTAATTTTATGTTGATTTACAAAAATTGATAAGTAAAAAACAAAGATCTTGTAAAGTTCTATGACATTTAGCATAACTTAATAAAACCAAAAGTTAGCTTCTGAACGGAGAATTGACCAAGTCCATACAAGATATCACCAACCCATTCCCCAACAGGTGTTTTATGTGCGGGTTAGTTTATACCGAATACAAAGTGTCTTCCCTATATCACAGGACACGTACTGCATAAAGATTGTTCTCTGTTTAGGCAGTCATGACAACATAAAGGTGTTTTGATACGAAGAAAATATTTTTAATTTTTCATGTTGTTGGCTTAAAATTTTGGAAAATATTTTCCTATTAACTCATTTTCCTTTAATTGGAGGAAATGTTTTACTTATCAAGGAAAGGCGAAAATAATTTTCAAAACTCCTTCTCAACATTCTCCACCCTCACCAACACACCCACCCCCTCTCTCCAAAAAAGATTTTTTTGTTATTTCAGTTTTTCTGTTACCACCCACACTACTACCTCCCACCCCACCCCACCCCGCCCCCCTCCCGCCAAAAAAAAAGAATTTTTTTTACCTTATAATTTTTTTTTTGCAATTTTCAATTTTTTGTTTTTTCGTTTTTCTGCACCACCCACCCCCACTCTCCCCTCTACCCCTTATCCCCCACCCCCCACCCCCCCCGAAAAAATAATTTTTTTTTTACATTTTTTTTGTAATTTCAAATTTCTGTTTTTTTCATTTTTCTGCACCCCCCTCCCGCGAAAAAAAATATTTTTAGATATATTTTTCAGTTTTAATTTTTTTTTTTATCGGTTTAAAGGCTGAAAATTTTACAAGTACCAAGTTATGAGTTCGGAGGTTTATGTGTTTGGAAGTTTACGGGTTTAGGAATTATAAAGATTACGGGTTCGAAATTCCGCGGTTTCGAAAGTTTAGCGGTTCGAAAGTTTATGAAATTTGTGGATTCGGAAGGTTGTTGGTTTGAAAGTTTATGGCTTCATGTTTATTATATCTAAATTATTTATGAATACTCTTGAGAAGTCATTTTCCTTAATTTGTGAATCAAACACCGAAAATGGAATAAGATTACTACTTGTTTTGCCAAGAAAATATTTTTTTGGAAAACATTTTTCACGGAAAACATTTTCCGTTATACCAAAAACACCCAAAGAGTATTCCCAATATCACAGGACACCGTCCCCCAGTGTGTGGTTGGGGGCGGGGGG